CTTGAAATGGAAGTAAGTCTGACAAGTAGACCAACATTTCCACTTTATTGATAGATTTTTGAGACTGCCAGCAAATATGATATAAGAGCTGACTGTATTCACTCTATTTCTATTGCATTCTATATTTTTATATATATTTATATTTATCTATATATTTCTATATTTATGGTTAATTCGGAAGTTTGACTTAATGGAATAACTGATTTATTTAGCAAGACACCGCTTTCGTCTCAAAGTCATTAGTTTCAATTGACTTCTTATTTGACCGATCGAGATTCTGCCTTCTTTGAATTAAGAAAATGCTTAATTTCATTTTTGCATGCTTCTTGCGAAGCCCTTCTCCTCTTCAGGCTGGCCAGTGCTTCCAGCTTCGACTGTATTTTTATTTCTACCCTTCGACCTCGGGATTGCCCCGAAAATAAAACTGCTACTAACCGTACTAATCAGTAGTGTATCGAGTTTGGCTGAGAGCCCACCTTTGGCTATAGATATTAAATTCCCCACAAAGGGATGCAAGTTGAAAGTGGTAATTGTCATGTAACCAGACAATGATGAGGTTTTATGGCTTGATGATAACATGTTTGCCTCGAAGCCGGCTCGTCCGCGATTCGAATCTCTCCACGAATGTCGATGAAACGAGGCTTGCGCCACGGTTTCAGGTTAAGCGTGAAAAACGGCTTTTCGGCATTCATGCTGTCTTTAAGTTGAATGCGAAAATGAAGCATTCTCCTTAATTCCTCAGTTCAGATTGGCCAGAATGCCAGTCTGAGAGCCGTCGAAACTGGCTACCGGACAAGCATTCATTCCACTTTGCACTCGTTTCTCCTCTTGTCCGTCGCACAACCATACAACTCACCAAGGCCACGAACCCGGTGCCGACTTGGGGCCCGTGATTTCGCCAGCCGTTCTGCTTCGTATCCATGACTTCATCGAGTCGGGCGTTCAAGAGGGCGCAAAGTTGCTGCTAGACGGTCGTGGTGTATCGGTGCCTGGCTACGGAGCGGGCAACTTCATCGGACCGACTATTCTGCACGGAGTGCGGACCGACATGCGCTGCTACCGCGAGGAGATATTCGGCCCCGTCCTCCTCTGCGTCGAGGTGAATGTTCACATTACTTCTGCTGCGGTTGATGTTCACTATTGCCTGATTGAAAACAACTTACAGTCCACTAGTACCTCAAACAAAGTGGAGGGAGCACATTTTGTATATCTGATTTACTGGTCGTCTCGAAAGCCTACTTACAAATGATCAGTTGTTATTTGTTTTTCGAATTAAGTAAATCAGTAATATGAGATGCGTTCAGACAATTTCGTTTAAGGTGATAAAGAACTGGTAGAAGAAGAATTTTTCCACAAATGATATGAGTTGAGTTGACGTTTCCATTCAATTTCACATAGCCTTACTTTCCAAAATGCTTCGCAGTTTCGACCTCTCATAGGTCTTATTAACACCCAAAGCGGGAGTCGAACCGTGACAGTACAGTGTGCAATCTCGACACATTGTCATAAATGCACTTATATCACAGGGCAGATGTCAGCTGAAAATTTTTCAGGCCTTTCCCTGTATCACATTTTGGGATTGTAGATAAGCAAAGTTGTATTTACTACAGCAATCGTCTATATTACTTATATTCAGTTTATAAGTAGACTTCCAAGACAACCAGTAAATCATATATATATACATATATATATATATATATACATATATATAACGTATAAAGACCAAGATGGTGTGGTATTTAGTATGGCCACGATCTCGTTTCGTTGTATAATAGTTGTTTGATTTAGTTTTCGCAACTTGGTCATTTTGGCAGGAAGACCTAGAGGAGCGCACCTTGTCCTGAGTTCATAGTTTACTGAAGATGCCGGCGAAATGTCTGGGAATGTACCAAGTCGACGATCCAACTCTGGCAATTATCATGCATAATATTGATTCCGGACAAGTTGAGTTACTTAAGGTCTTCCTAACAATATGACCAAGTTGTGAGAACAAAGTTAAACAATTAGCATATACATACAATTTGTTCATCTATCATCAAATAAAACGAAACATATCTCTGATTT